GCCTTCAATATGTCTTGTGAGTGTCAAATTTTCCAATCCCTCTCCTTATTATGTACCCTAGAAATTTTTAACTCTCGCTTTGTGATGTCAAGTATAAGTGTCTTTTTTGTTCCCATCTTCTCTAAAACTTTGCTCATATGTTCAGTCCCTGGTATTCTCAGCATCCTTCTATAGAACCATGTTTCTACAACTTCAAGTTTCTTCTTCATCTCTACAGAGATTGTCCAGCATTCACTTCCATATAGGAGGACTGATATTACATAACAGTTCAGTACTCTTTTCTTTGTTTATAATTAAATTTTCCTGTTTCCTAATATTTTGCTTTGCATTTGAAAGGTGTCTTTCACTATCCCAGTGTGCCTTGGATCTTGGTGTTGCACTTTCTCTCCTCTGTTAAAACTCTTGCCAGATATTTAAATTTTTGTACTTGCTTGATTTTGGTATCTCCAAATTTGTAATTTGCATGTTGGGTTGTGCCTTTTGCTGAAAATTATATATCTTCTTGCAATTGATGTTTAGTCCTTTCTTCTCACTTTGCTTCACTACCTTCTCTAGGAATTCTTGTAGTTTCCTTTCTTAGTCTGCTACCAACACAGTGTCATCTTCACATCTTATGTTGTTAAGATTATGGCTGCTAATAATGAATCCTGGTAGGACTTCTAATTCTTTAACAGTATAGGCTGAATAAGTCCAGTGAGGAGACACATCCTTGTCTTACACCCCTTTCTATTTTTATATATTTACTGAATTTATTTTTTTTATCTGTATGCAAGCAGTTTGCTGCCAGTATAGGTTGTGAATTATTCTAATATCTTTCCTAAATATGTCAAGATTACCTAGCGGTTCTGACAGTTCTTTGTGACATACTTTATCAAACACACTTGCATAATCTATAAAATATAGGTATACATCCTTTTATGTTTGTATTGCTCTTTCTGATATCATTTTGAGCATAAATATCACAATCCTTGTCCCAGTGTCTTTAAAGAACATGCACTGTTCTTGACCTATTTCCAGTCTAATTATTAATTCTGCTGCAGGCTCTTTTCATCAGAATTAAGATGATAAATTTTGTTATATGGCTCATTAGGTTGATTGTCCAATGGAGTTCAGTTGCTTGCACCTGGCTTCTTATGCAGTGCTATGAAAATGGATCTTATGACTTCCAGTATATCACCACTGTTGTATATTTCGTTTATTATGTATGTAATTTTGTCAATGCCAAAATCATCTGAGGAGTGAACAAATTAATCTCTTAAAATGCAATTTTCTCTAATTTCAAATATAATAAAGAATTTAAATGGATTAATTTTTTATTAGATGGGAAATTAGATAAAACTGCAAATTCTCAGTTGAAATGAAATAATATTCATATGCAATAAATATTACCATTACCATCTTACTAAAATATATATATATATATAAGAAAATATTCCATAGTGGATAATTTTTTCACAATCTATTGAATGCTAAGCATGACTGTCAATTGTTGCATTTAAAAGCAAAAAGAAAAAATTACAGTAGTGGATAGCAAAAAACAGTTTTGCATTACTACTTGCACCCCTGTAGATGATCTCAGAAGATCGAAAGTACTTGGGAAATGGAAAATAAAAACAATTTTCATAATCATAGTACATTTCTCACATCATTTAATTGCAATACATAGAAGGTTATCTATGAGTATGAACAGATTTTATTAAAAATAAGCAGACATAATGTCTGTAATTTATTTAATCAGACATTAATATATATATATATATATATATATATATATATATTTCTTTAGTACGTGATTGTAGTGGAATGATTTACAGCAGAAATTATTTGATTTAAACAAATAATGATAAAATAGTATGTATATATCCACATTCCATTAAGTACATGGAGACTATACTACTCTATCTAGAATTCTGTTTTATGAAATTTGTTTTCAGGATTGTTTTTTTAAATTTGCAATTAACGTTGATATTACTTTTGCTTTTCATTATCTAATTCCCATCAATACTGGGAACTGCATTGGAAAATTGGGAGTTTAACCATTTTCATTATCATAAAAATTATTGACTTTCAGAGCCTTCCCCATTTGGTCTGCTTATGTTACTGTATTATCAGTTTTATTTTGAAACTATTTTGTCTTCACAAATAGAATTAATATATTACATTTTCACTTATTCAAATTTATTTCTATTTATTTCATTTATGCCTCTTTTTTTCCAAAGGCATTAACAGACGATAAGCAGAACTAGTTGATAAGGAAGTTCTTATATATTTGAAAGCTTACCAAAATATTTGAAACTTTGCTTCTCAAAAATTGCTTTTCAAGTTTTCTTATCACTTATGGAGTAGATACATATCTTTCCATAGCTTAATTGCTTTTATTCTTCAAATTTTGTTAAAAAAAAAATTAACTCACAAAATTCCCAAACTAAAATTTCTTTGCTCTTTTTTTACATTCTTGTTTTTCTTCAAACTTTCAGATTTATTTTTCCTTTTGCAATATTATTTTTGTTGAACATTCTACATACAAATATATACCTCATTTAAGCTGCAAAAATTAATATATACATGTGAGGTGTCTGAAAGAATGTAAAATAATTGATCAAAAGGAGGCGGTTTATCTTTCTTTTCTCCTCTCTTCACACAACTGAAGATAACACAATGAATGGTACATGAAATCTCAAAATTGAATTTTCTTCATGTTGGCACTGTTAACTTCAGCCTAAACCTGTTAAATTTTTTGAAAATTACTTTCTACTATTGGATCATTTATCTTTTTTTATTCTATTGTCAAATGGAAGATTTTCTGTAATTTAAATCTGTTTTCTTTTTGTAAATGCCAAGTCCCTTCAGGATCTAAATGATCAGTGACCTTCCATTTTTGTTTTAACATCTATGAGTTGTCATGTCTTAAGAAAGATAGTGAAATGCCTTATCCTCTGTTTTTAATTCAAAGTAGTTGTGCTCCTAGACTGGCTGCCATCTAAGACTAGAGAGCTTTCTACTTTGCTATTTAACCCATATGTGGGGAGAGAGGAGATGGATTCATACCTTTCCCAAAGGTGTTAATATAAAAGTAAACACAACAGCCAAGAGTGTAATTTGAACTTGGTTCACCGAGTCTACTATCCAAACCAATAACCATTATATTAATTGTTGATAAAGAATTGGTTTGGTTTGGTTTATTTTGTTTTACGGCATATCAACCTCAATGGGTTATTTAATGCCAACAACATTTTTTATTGCTGGTAATATTTTGTTTTGTCAAAAATCTGTTTCTGGTAATATTTTTCCTTCAAAATTCTATTGCTGGTAATAATTTTTTTCAAAAAAGTATTGCTGGTAATAGTTAACTATTTGCCCATAGCTAGGACCCTAACAGGTGCTACCACCCCAGGTCAGGGTGGACCAGGGAACACCAGCAATTAAAAGGTGGTTCCACGCTCCTCAAAACCTCCTGATCAGAGGCCTTGCTGCTGGATGTAGTTTATTGTCTTACCCAGGACACAGATGTAGTTTAACATCTTACCCAGGACGTAATAAAGAATATTGTTAAAATTGTTAATATTGTTAAAATTAATCATTCTCTCTTATAAAAATATGGAATTGATTCCTGAAGTCTTTACACATACACTTGTTAATTTTTAATTTTATTTATTTAATTTACTTTTTTTCCAGATTATTTCCAGAGGTTCATATTTCATGCATATCTAACTTCTGTCAAATGTACTATTTTGATTATTGAAACTTTGTTCTTTTTTATATGAATGTTTTAATTTTTAATTTGTTTACAAAATGCACTTGTACATATATTTCATGAACAATTTCATACTCATGTAAAATTCAGAAACACATCTAAATTATACCATTTAATTCCACAGTTTTTTATTTTAATATCAAATTAAAAAATAAAATTTTAAGAAGTTTTTCTTCCTGATACATTTGTGTACAAAGCTAATTATTTGGCATTTGCTTGTATATTTATGCTATGTGTAGATTAAATAAAAAATGATGTTCAGAATATTCACACACTATTAGATAATTCCAACATTGAGTTTCCCAAATCATTTTCATTTCATAAATCTAATTCAGCTCAGTCAAACTATCTATATTAATATTATGTCAAAAATAAACTGTAATGTGGAATGTACTTAAATATAATTTAATTTTATTGTTTTAAGTATCAAGAATAAATGTTTTCATTAAAATTTATGAACAGTTCAAATTCGGCATAAATCACTCTGATCATTAAGTATGCATAAAAATGAGTTGGTTTTTTTTTTTTTTAAATGTTTTCAGATTTCTTGATATGTTAATAAATAAAAATTTCTTAAACTCCATACACTTATTATTCCTCATTATTTTTGTTTCAGATTTATTTTTTAAAATTAAATATATACTGTGTTGTTTTTTTCAATATTCAAAAAAACATAAAACAAGTCATTCATTTTATAAATAAATGATAGAAAACTAATGAATTCAAAGAAATGAATAATAATCATGAAGACCTCCATGTTTGAATGGTAAAGCACAATTCAGACATGATATTTTTTTATTTAGCACATGAAATTAAATTGAAGCATAAACTTTGATCATTTTTTCTTCAGTTTTAGATTATATTATTTTATGAATGAGACAGTCGAAAAATTCAGTTGAATTAGATTGAGATAACCAAGGCAAATACATTTAGGCTTCAGATGTAAGGGAGATAAATCTGACGTTCATTTTTATAAATTAAAGGGAAATAACAATGAATGACTTGCTTTCAAAAATTAGAAAGTATAATCCACGTATAATTTAAATTTTTAAAAAATTATTTAAGGCTTTTCGGTTTTAACAAAGAAAGAACAGTAAATAATTTTTAATGATTGGTAAGTAATTTTATACCTGTTATATTTTATCCACTGACAAGAATACAAGAATTTAGATCTAAAATCTTTTAACTCTACTGTCTTTTTGCATTTCCCTCTTTGATGTTAATTGCTGATTTGTCCCTGTTTTAGGCTGGTTGGAACCATTGCTAGACAGGATAGGCGAGAACAAGTCTAATGTTGTGACTCCCGTTATTGATGTTATTGAGGATGACTCATTCCGATATCAATATGGTAGTGCAAAGAGCACAAGCATAGGTGGCTTCGACTGGAGTCTGCAGTTCACATGGCATGGCATTCCTGATGTAGAACGGCAGAGGAGGAACAATGATGTCGCCCCTATCAGGTATATTGCAATGTTGCCTGGTTTGCAAGTAATAAATTACATGATGTTGTTGCACTGTGTCACTGGAGCTCTTCTGTGTTTTTCACAATTTGTGTTGTTTGTGTTGTATTTTATTTTGTATTTTGTTAATATTTTCTAATTATACAGTACAGGATAAAGAAAATTTTCTAATACCAATTAATAAGCAAAAGTTCTAATTCGATTTTTGATTGTCCAAAATATATATATATATATAAATTCTTTATCAAAAATGTTCTAATCCTGATTAAAAAGCGCAAAAGTTCTAATCCAACATTTGATTGTCGAAAATATATTTTCTTTCTGAATTTCTGGGATGACAAGTTATCATTATTTACATTATTTATATTTGGACTATTGTCCTCATCTTTTGTTGAAACATTTAAGACTTCATCAGGTGATTGTTCATCCAAGTAACCTTCAGGTAATTTCTAACTGAGCCCTTTACTTAATCTACAATGGTAAATCATTCTCATTCCACAGTCCATGTCCAGAGATATCTCATCTAGCCCTTATTCTTATTCAGTTATTGCTCACCCCATTTCCACTAAGTCCAAAAACACACTGCTCCACCCAGGGATTGAATTCACAATTATCACCAATGCTTTAACCACTAGGCTATTGTCCTATGAGACAATTCTGAGTGAGATACCTAGAGCCTTAAACTTAATCAGCGTGCTGATATGTTTTGCTGCTACTTGTCATGTTCAACTGGACATAGTGCAACAGAATGAGAACAACATACCCCCTTAGATTAAATAAAGAATTCAGTTTGAAATTCCTTGAACGTTACTTATAGTGGCAATCATCTGGGTAGCACAATGGCCAAAACATTGTGATGGCAAAAACAAAGATGGAGATAAGAGTCCACATGCAAATAATCCAAAATATCTATTATTCCAAATAACTTGATAGTTAACATGAAATCACAGTCTAGCATCATTCAAAGAGCTGGAAATGAAATCCTATCAGAATTTAGTTCACAGCAATGCTTTTTTAAACTATGTCTTCTTGGCACCATTTTAAACTGACAGCTTCTTTTTCAATTTCTTGCTATTGCATCGACCAGATTCAAAATCATAGAAACCACAGTGTTGCATCATAATTAATTGTGAACTCATAATCTTTTCCATGGCTGTATAGTCTGTGATTTTCCAAAGCCAAATACAGTTTTTGAATTTTTTTTTCCTTCTCCTAAACTTAATGCCAGTCTGTTTTGAACAGAGAAGAGAGGGATTCAATCCTTTGCCAATGATATTTGTGCAAAAGTAAATGTAACAAACTCAACCAGAATTCATGCTCAGCTTGCCAATTTATTGTTCCAAACCACTAACCATTATTCTACATCTACATTTTCAATATATTGGGATCAATTTGCTTAAATTTCATATTTTCCTGAGTTCAAATGAAAACTTAAAATGTTTTCTAACATATTTAACTTTCCAAAATTACAGTTTGTATAGTGATTTATTAAGCATAGCTTAGATGTGGCACAAGGCAGAAAATCTGGAGAAAGCCGGGAAATATGGCATATAATATGCTTGTGTACAAGAACATCTCTTAAAGCAAATAACTTAAGGTTAAAAATTTTTTTTCTTTTTTGAGTGCATCATTTTATCCTGTCCTGTATGTTTTTTTTTTTGTATAATTGTTTTTATGTGAATATATCAAGATATATTACTATGCATGTTTGGGTATGTATGTAGATATGCATGCTTCTTTGTTTTGTTTTAGTGTTTTCTTCAACTGTTTGCTTGCTCATAGAACAATTTTAGTGAAGATATAATTTTCTTTAAAGGACTTCAGTTATTAGACTTTATTTCTTTTCAAAGAATAAAATCTAACATTTAAATATAAAAAAGTGAATGACTTTTTTAAACAGAAATGTCAAAAACAAGATACTCTGACATCATTACTCTATAAATAATTTTTGTTCAACTTATAAAATTGGAATTAGAAATAATGCCATTTTTTGCCTATCATTAACAAGATATTTATTGCATTTTTCTTTAAAATCTCTAGTTTCTGAATTCTAAATTGATAAGTTTAAAATAATTTACTTTTAATTTATTTTACGATATTTAACATTTTTTTTTATAATATTTTTATGGGTACATGTGAATGAGTGCGAGCTCTTTTTTCTTCCAGAAACATTAATCTTGCTATATTTAAACATGTGCGTGTTTGTGCAAATGAAAAGAAGAGTTCTAGTACTTGGTGGAACACGTGTAATGTAATTCTCCCTGTAAAAGAATTTCAAACAAAGATTGATTTAACTCCAATAGAAATTCTTATTAATCCTTGCTATTCACATTACATAATGAACTTGGTGTGGGTCTTGTTTATTGTTTTTTTGTTCTGTTGTTTGCTTGTCAATAATTGTATTTCCCTTAATCTGAATTCTCTTTACCTTAAAAAAAATCACCAAAAAATCATGAAAATTGTTATCTGTATAGAGCTCCTTTTTCTATGAAAATGTCTTATTTGTTAAACAGAATATACTTCTTATGTTATTTACATTATTCAGACTATTATTCTCATCTTCATTGCCATATTCACAACATTTTGGCTGTTCTATGCTCCAGCCTTCTTCAGGTGATTGGAATTTCGAGCCAAACCCGTTATTTTGTCCACCAGGGTAGATTATTCTAGTTCCACGTTCCGTGCCTCTTCCAGATGACAGTTAACTCAACTCTTCAAGTTTTGGATCACCACTGCTGTAACAGTGTCTCACCACCCATACAGTGTAAAAAAAAAAGGATCGTCCACTGCTTAAAACATCGAACAAATGTCAGAAGTGGTGACCTAGAGACATATGAACAAGAAATTGTCAGTATAAGGAAAACCCTACAATGTAACAACTGCTCCGGGTACATGACAGTAGCTCTGACAAACTGGGATAGAAGGGTACACGAGGATAACAGTACTCAGAAAACAACTTTAGTCTGCCTACCCTATATGAAGGGATTATCGGAGAAAATACAAAACAACTGTGATCCATAAAACATCAGGACAACCTTCAAAAGTGGTTCAATACTTTGCAGACACCTCTTCCGAGCAAGACTCCCACCTCACCCCCATAGAGGAGAACATGACTAAGAACTGTGGGCACGCCATCCTGTGCAGCCGTAGTAAGAAATATAAAGGAGAAACAGGCTGCCCACTTAAGGTAAGACAGTAAGAACATCGTAAAACATTAACATGAGGGGAAATAGAAAAATCAGGCATAGCTGACAGCATATGGAGGGAAAAGGGAGATCACTGCCCCCTGTGGGATGAGGTTGAAATAATAGACAGAGAACATCACTGGAAAACTTAAGGAATCAGTACATATGCTAGGCTACAAAAATCTCCTGAGCCAACCAAGCATAGAAATGAATACAATATGGAAACCAGTAATAAGGAGTGCTATAGTAAAGCAATGAATAACAACAAAAAATTGCAATATAAGCTCTGGTAAAAAATATATGCAATAATAATAATAATAATAATAACAGAAAAATTGCAATATGAGCACTGATAAAAAATGTTGCAGAGACATTAGGTTCATAAGTCCCAGAAATTCATTTAGATCCAGTGACTAGACCCAAAGAGTTGTGAGTTCAATACCAAGCTAAAAATGAACCAAAACTTGGAGAGTTGAGTTAAAGGGAGATAACTGAAACATCCGGAAGAGGCATGGCAAAATAAAGGGTTCGGTTCAAAATTTCAATCACCTGAAGAAGGCTGGAGCATACAATGGCTGAAACGTTATGAATATGGCAATGAAGATGAGGATAACAGTCCGAATAATGTAAATAATGTTAGTAATCATAATACCTCAGGGATATAGACAGATAAAGAATGTACTTCATTCAAGAAGTACATCTTAAGATATTTGGGAAAAAAGACATTAATGAGTCTTTTTTGGAACTGACTTTAATTATTGTTTTTGATATTATTCTTTAGGCTATAAATCAAAATTTGACTGCTGTACATACCACATGAATTAGTCAACTAAAAAAAAAAATTAATTTCAGTTGTAATCAGATAATCTTTTATATTCTGTTTTGTCTAATGGCCTTGCTATGTTTTAGGCATCAGGTCATCAAATTCATCTCAGCATCTCTCAATCCAGCATTTTAAAAATCCAACAAAATCAGTCTTTACAAGGAACATCAGTACCATATTGAAAAGAATTGAAAAAGACATTAATTTCAATTGATGTTTTTCTCACTTCCAGTCTTTACATAATTCAAAACATTAATTCCAGTTTTTACATTAATGCAACCAGAAATAAACTCACCGTTTTTTTATATATATATATATATAATTATTTATCTCTAATACACATTTCTTTGTTTTGTTTTTTTTTTGTATTTATTTTGTGAATGACTGATAGTGCATTGCATAATTGGTATTACTTACACATCAGATTTGTTTGTTTATTATTTTAATTTATGACAAACATGTTTCTGTCTCTGTCATCAAAACACACCAAACCTTAATTTAAATAAATATCACAAATAAGAAAAATACTAAGATAAAGCAATTTCTAAATTTTTAGATATATAATAAAAAAATATATAATAAAAAAAAATTTTTACTCCAGCATTTATAAAATTAAACAAAAAATATAATGATAATACAAAGCAGTATAAAAAATGTGTTGCTGATTGTGTTTGCATTTGTGAAAACACAGACAAGTAACAGTGAATGAAAAGTATACCACCCTTTTGTGGAAGGACCACATGAAATTCATTTGTATGTGTGATTTCAAACATGCCAAGAATATGTGCTTGTCATATTCATGCCTTGAAGCTTTTTGTTATCTGTAATCAGATGACAAAAATGATTGTGATATGTGTCCACACGAAAGCATTAAGAATTAAACTCACTACTGTTTAATTAAGTTCTGTCTATCATTTTCATACATAGTTTAAAGAGTTTTACTTATAAATCTTTTCATTCCAAATGTAGAAACAGTAAAATTAAATAAACTT